ATTTTTAATCAGATTTTTATCAGATTTTAATCCGGAAATTTGTTTACAAAACCTGTGATTTTCCGGAACTAAAAAACTGGATTTTTTCCTGATTTTTGTCTTTTATTTTTTTTTACAGGGTAACTCAAATACTATATCTAAAAAAAGCTCAACAAACAATAATCTTGATAACCTCAATAATCCATCAAATGTCAACATATTATTGCAGACTCACAATGACATAATTGATCAACTTAGAAAAGATATAAATGATCTTAACAACAAGTTCACAATACTAGAAGACAAGATAGATAAAATTCTTACAATTCTTAAAGCAAATCACATACCAACCAAAACATTTGCAAATACATCATAAATACCAGTTTCTTCAACTGAATTGACTTATACTCCAGAAATAATCAAATATCAATACTCAACACTTGATACTTCTACTCCACATTTCTCTCAAATACAAACTCAGTCTTTATTTTTATATAATGATACAAATTCTAATACTATCTCATTCAAAGATAGACAATTCAGGAACTCTTATAACTAAATAATAAACTTACAGTACTGTTATGATATGAATATTTAGTTTTTATTTTATTGATTAATTCATATCATAAATTTAATTGAATAATATTTTATTATATTCTATTGATTAATTTCATATTTATATTTTATTGGATAGTTATTTTTAGATAGTTGTTATTTTATTGGATAATTATATTATTAGTTCTTAGATTTGTTAATTGATCTACATAATTAAATTTAATTGATATTAATTGAGAAATTTATGTAATATTAAAGTGAGTGAGCGAGCAAGCAATATGTAACCAAAAAGTGAAATACTTTTTGTAATTTTAATATTAATCAAAAATAGTTTTAATATTTGAAAAATTGAGTAACAATAACTTATATAAATATAGCTTGTATCTTAGCTTCAATCAATAGCTTGGCTTAGCTTAGCTCTCAAGTTCAATAGCTCTCAGATTCTCAAGAATAATAAATAATTAAAAATATGTAATAAATTAATGATAAATTCGTCTAATAATAAAATTATACTTTATTATTATTGAATTATGATCTTATAATGAAATTACATATTTATTACATAAAATTCTTTAATTAAACACTATTATTAAAAATCCCAGATCTCATTCTAGCTGACCATATCATGAATACACTGTTATCTTCCTTTAAATTTATTTATAATCATAGTTTAATGCTTGATGCATTATATAGATTTGATTATATTATACTCTCACATCTGTCATTCTTAATAAATTTTATTATAATTACTCTGATCAAGTAACTTATTATAATGTTATTAAGCACTCACCAGCTCTTTCAAGAACTCATATAAAATGGTAATAATATATATTCACCTTTACATATATATAGTTAAAGCTAATCTATTTTTTTATAACTTATTTTATTATTAATCTTTATAAATAATATGTAAATTATAATCAGTTTATTAATCTCATAATAAGATTAATTCAATTATATAACCTATATTAAGAAGTACTTTACATTCAAAATTAAATATAATCATTATTTAGATATTACATTTTTGCTATCACAATACATAATTAATATATAACCTAAAAAATAAATTATATTATATACCTAAATGAAAATAATCTGAAAATTTATATTATTATCATAATCTATATCAGGAATATTTTAAATTTTAAATTGGTCAGGATCACTAAATCAATATATAATATATTACATATAACTTAATAGCAGAAATTAGTCAAATTATTAATTCAATATATAATAGTTTGAGTGTGTCATAAAAAACAAAATATATATTATTTAAGTGTGTTGTAAAAAACAAAATACATGTTATTTTGAAGTGAGAATAATTTAAACTAAGTAAAAATAATATAATTATATTATTTTCACTAAAATATTAATAATTAATTATCAATAAATATAAAAATTTCTTGATATTATAAAATTAACTAAAAGTAAGAAAGAAATATATATAAAAAAATGAGTTCAACTTTTAACTTGATTGATTTTTTTTAATTATGAGTTAAGATATATATTATATTTATAAATAAATTATAAAAACTAAATATTCAATAAAACTATAAATTAAATTGAATTTTAAACTGAAATTTGAATAAAAATTTGAATAGAAATTTAATCAAAATTTCAACCAAAATTTCAATCAAAATTTGAATCAAAATTCAAATAAAAATTTGAACCAAAATTCAAATTGAAATTTAAATCAAAATTCAAATTGAATTTCAAATACTAATTATTAATATAATTGTTCAATAATATTATTTTAAGTACTAATATGATAACATATAGAATTAAATACAAAAAATATCAAATTATAACATTATAAAATTATATATTATAATTTATAGATTTGAGTCTCAAATTGAATTATATTTTTTTCTAATAAACAGAAAAATTTTCAATCATATAAATATTATGTGATGTAATTTAATAAGAATATAGTATTTTAATCATAGCAAAGAAAAAAAGTAATATATATGATAATAAACTAATTTAACCAATAAAATTCTGTATAACTAATAGAAATACTGTTACCGTTTTAATAGAGCTTTCAAAATATTCAAAGGTATTTATAAAATTTAAGGAATATTCAAAGAGAAACTTTCAATGTTTTAATGACAATTCAAAGTATTAATAATACTTTATGATTATTAGACTAAATGTGAATAAGTACTAAAAGTACTAGTGACAAAACCACTTAAAGATTGGTAACAGTTGTGTTCTTTTAACACAATAACTGGACTGCTAAAAAGAATTCTCAAAATCTCAATGTCAAATATAATATATGTATTAAAAATGTCTTTAAATCTTTGAAGTCAGAATATAAGATATAATATTCGTATTATTAGCAATACGAGATCAAAGATAAGTATATGAACAATATATTATTAATAATACAAAGTCAAAGATAAGTTTATGAGTAATGTATTCTTAGCAATATAATTTCAAAGACAGATTTATAAATTATAATAATAATTCCTTTATTTAATATAATGTTTAATAAACTTCGTTACAATATGTTCAGAAAGTCTAGAATAAAAATGATAACTTTTATAGTACTCCTGATAATACTGCTTAAGCTACTATAATATATGTTGATTCAAGATCTATATAACTTTTTATAAAGTTATTATACAAGAAAATGAATACTTTGTCAAAAGGGTATAGAAAGGAATTTGCGCTTGACTATCTATTTTACATAAAGTGCAAACTACTTTTCTTTGAACGATCAAAATTACGTGATAATTAATTAGACGTGATAATTGGAAATTACTATCTAAAAGAACTTGTTCATATCTAATTCTAATAACTACGATATATGTTGCTTTTATACAAATTCAAGATATAATTTCTAGACTATACAAATTCATATTCACTATATCACTTAAATTCTATTAGTTCAATATTTGTTTGCTCATTCGTTTGCTCATTCACTTAGTTATTCGTTTATTCATTTGTTTACTTGTTTGCTCGCTTGTTTGCTCGCTTCACATGATTTGATCTTTATCCAATAAGATATAAGATATGTATAATCCAATAATATGAAATATTATGATGAAAGATCATTATATAATATTACAACAAATTTTTAACCAATCTAACAAAACAAATTCAGCACAAAAAAATAAGAAAAGAAAATAAATATGAAAAATACAAAAAATAAATATCTAAATTTAGCTTGATGCACTATTAAAAAAACTCTAATCCTAACTTTAATACTTAATATCTAATATTAATTGAATATTTTAATGAATCTATTTCAAATCATGTGCATCACCCTTTTTTTGCTGTGGCTAGGGCTCTAATAAGAATGTTCTTTCGAGTGGTGCAAACCAATAAGGATGAGCAAATTTTTTATCAACTCAATAAATCAAATTCAATATGATATAAAAAATATATATTAAAATCTGGCTTGAAGTATTAATAAATCATATCGAAAAAACAATTTTACATATAATTTTGTTTTCCACTCTAACCCATATCCTAACCCGAATATTCTTTAACGTTAATTTTCCATGATCACGTGATCGAGGAATTTTTTTGTCACAACTAATTACTAATTTTTTTCAAAATTACTAATAATGTGGCGCATTCAGGGTCGATCACATTATCGGGGTACTAAAATTTAGACCCCTAAAATACACGAACTTGTCACACAAACTTTCATTGGCCGAGATGACTGACCGATTGATCGATCGATTTCATCGGGGGCAAAGACAAGAAAAATTTACAAAGCCAAATTCTTCCTCATCTTTCCCTTTAACGTTTATTAAAAGAGGCCGATCACACAATGTAAGTATCGATGCGTAGATAGAATCATATCGAGATAAAGACAAGAAAAACCAAGAAACGCGTGATTTTGTAATGGATGGATGGCACTTTGGAGCACGATTTTGGTTGACGAGTACGAATGGGTGCGCGAATCAAGAAAGAAAAGTGGAATTTGAGACTTTGCTTTTTAGTGATACTATTGATTGGTAGAACTTTTTGGAGGAATAAGAACACTGAATATCAGTTTTTCGTGCAATGCCAAGAGAAATATGAACCACACAAGTTTATTATATATAACACTTGATAATAAAAGTCATTAATTTATATCTATTGCCTAAACAATAAATAACAAGTTTTCTAATAATTACCTTTTACTTAAAAAAAATAAATAAACAAATTACCTTCCTTCATACAGCATGGCCGAAATAGTGGAACAAAAGATTGTGGAAATAACTGAGGGGGAGGCAAAAAAAATAGAGGAAGAAAAAAAGATTGTGGAAATATCTGAGGAGGAGACTACTAAAGTTATCGAGGAAAAAAAAGTGACGACGTCAACGTCTGTGGAGGTAAAGGAGGAACTCACCACCAAGACCACTAACATCTTCCACCTCGCCGATGATCCCACTAAGATAGCCACCACTGTGGAATCGGACGAAGAATCTGACGATGAAATTCCAGAATTAGAGGAAGAAGGCGTCAATAATTCGGGTACTGTGCCAACAGATCTTGCAAAGTTGCAAAGTCGTAGTGAGAAAAAGGCGCGAAAAGCAATGTCGAAATTGGGGTTGAAGATTGTTCCTGGCATCAATCGTGTCACTATCCGTCGACCAAAGAATGTAAGTTTTAGGTAATTCTGTAGTTATTGGAGAAAACAAAATAAATTTCTCAATTAAATGTATTTTTTCTAATGAAAATAGATTCTCTTTGTCATCTCTAACCCGGATGTATATAAATCCGCAAACTCCGACTGCTACATTGTATTTGGAGAAGCGAAAATTGAGGATCTTAATTCTCAAGCGCAGGCTAATGCCGCTCAGCAATTCCAGAATGCTGAGGCTGCCGTTGCAGCTCAAGAAGCTCCAAAAATGGATGCTGTCGAAGATGATGAGGAGGTTGACGAAACAGGCGTAGAAGCTAAAGATGTCGAACTGGTTATGAGCCAAGCTGTGCGTATTTGATTTTTTTTCATTGTTTTTTTAAGGAATAAATTTTTTGTTACTAAATTCACGTTAATTTCTTGTTTCTTGCAATAATAATAAATAGGGCGTCTCACGTGGTAATGCTATCAAAGCCCTCAAGAACAATAATAATGATATTGTTAACGCCATTATGGTAATTTCATTTTATATTTACATGTTTATTGATGATCGTTTATATCTTTATATTTATTAATCTACGTTTATCATTAACAAACAATAATAATACAGGAATTAACAATAATGTAATCGAAACGAACGAAATGGACAGTTTCTTCGTTTTGAATTTGTATCGAAAACTAGTGTGCGCTTAACACTAATAAAAAACTGTCATACTATCACACAACAATCATAACTTTTTTTATTGAGCACACTCTCTCATTCTCACTCCCACACAACTCATTTTTTATTGCATTGTTTATTAATTAATCCTACCTCCTAAAAAAATTTAGAATATTATGTTTAACTTTATGTTTCGTTAAAAATAATAGTAGTAATTATTGTAGTTGTATTTGATAGTTGTCGTAGTTGTATTGATAGTCGGTAATAGTTGTCGTAGTTGTTGGATTTTGGCTTGTATATAAAAACCCCCGACGATTACTGAAGCAGAAAGGAGGAGGAAAGAATTAATTATTGTTACTAGAAAAGAAAGGACTTTATTATTTTATGTATATTTCGCAGAATTTTTGCTTTTCAATAAAATTTGAAGGGTGATGTAATTATCGCATTAATCGAATATTTCAATTTCTGAAAATACGTAATTTATTGTTATTGCGTTTAATGTAATAGTATATTCTAACCAAATAGAGAATATAAGAATATCTAGCTGTTACTGTTGTCTTCCTTCAATTCTCTTGTCACCAATATACTCTCTTTATCCTTTCGTCGTTGCTCATAATAATTCTCTTTTGCCCCATCAACTTTTGCAGCATATCGTGCAGCCACAAAAAAGAAATCGCTTAATCTAAAAAGCAAAATAGCAATTTTTTAATAGCTGAAACAAATAATAATCCTTTAATTGTTATGTTATCACCTGTTGAGATATCGTTGAACATCCGGATCGGCTGTTCCGTTCTCTGTCAAGTCCACTGTTGCTCTTTCTGCTCTTCGACAAATCTGTGTAGGAAGAGAATATAAGATGATTCGTCCAATTTTAACAGAGAACAAAAAATAAAACTAACCGATCGGCATTGATGCAAAAATATGGCACTTTCGCCTCCTGATGGCAGGATGAAATTTTTGAGTAGAGGAAGTTGCTAATATGCAATACGCAAAAAAGAAGACAGTGTCATTGAAATCAACCTCGGTAAAGAGAAATATATCTTTCATCTAATCTTACCGCATCCAATTCATCAATCCATGATTCCAAAGTATCGACACTCGTCGGATCAAAAGCCGTATGCGCTAAAAGATTTCAATAAAATAAATTAGAATATATAAATAATCATCAGAATAAATTCATATGAACTATATCTCCTAGCATACACAATTTATTTTCGCGTGATGTTGTGCGAGGTGTCGCGATATTTGAAGACAATTCAATTAATTTGCATTGAATCTATCGAAACATGATATTACCCCCGAATTAGCAACACATAACAACCTTTTATAAAAACGCGTCAGAAATAAAAAGCTTACCCAGATTAATCGATCCTCTAACCCATTCTGGGCTTTCTTGCAATAATGATGTGCAATGCTACATTAAATTTGTATTGGCAAATGCACACAACAAATAAGTAATGATCGTTTGCAGGATTTTGACTCGAGTTTGTGCTTACCCTATACTACTATTTAATTCATCGACATCACCCAATGCATGAAATATATTGTCGCTCTTAGGCCTACGCTCACCACTGTACAAACTCGAAGTGCCTAAAAGTTAAATAATATAAGCAATTTAGTGCAAACGCGATCAAACATTTCCCCTTCAAGGTCAGATTCTTGATATACCTTTGTCACCAGTTCTGGTATAAACACTCGATTTCTTGCGACTAGTAATAATAAATTATTATATTATCATGGAAAAAGTTGTCATTCAGTACAATGCATGTTGGCAACGATACGCATTTCAAAATTACCTTTGGCAGCCAACCAAGGTTCGTTGCCTTAGCAACCCTGTTACTGTCCATGCTCGACAAAGGTACGTTCTTTTAATCGTTGTTGCAAAGAACAACGAGGCCTGGCTGGTTGTCATGGTTTTTAAAACGCTTTGAAGTCTGAGTAATGAGTTTCGATACATACTCGTTGGTTTCTTCCGTCATTGATAATAATAATGAAAATTTGTCGAATTTTTGATCTACTAAATATTTAACTAAATCTAATGTTAACTATTGATAACACGTGGATTGAATTAAGTGAATTAAGGCGGCAACTACATAAACAAATGATACTATCCAGTAATAGGTCTTCGCGCACTTTACAGAAACTAATTCTTCGATTTACTTTAAATTATCTCCATCTACTTGGTGCTATTCTTCCCCTCTTTCGTCTAAAGCAAATCAGATCGATCCCCGATTTGGTTTAACATAGACATTTGATAGTTTCATGGCACAAACTTATGGCCAACAGCAACAGCAGCAGCAACAGCAGCAACCCTCGCAACAAACACAAGCTTCACAGCCTCCAGAGTATACATTACCCGGAGTACTTCATTTTTTACAGGCAGAATGGCGGAGATATGAAAGGGATAGAAACGAATGGGAAATTGAAAGAGCTGAAATGAAAGTAAGTCATTTTAATTTAAAGTTTAGAAATGAGCGATTTAATATTCGGATTAATGAAATTCGAGTGTTGGTGGAATTTTCAAAGAATTCTTTTTTCCCGGGATACTTTTAATTATAATTCACGTATATCACATCATTTCTTTGCTTATGCTGACCTTTTGATACATTTAATTATCTTGTTTATAAAATTAAGGCACGTATTGCTTTATTAGAGGGGGAACGACGGGGTAACGAGAATATGAAAAATGATTTAATGAGAAGGGTTAAGATGCTCGAGTATGCTTTAAGACAGGAAAGGTAGATATGAGAGGAGATGAGTTTTCCATGAAAAAGTTTTAACCTTATATGTATTTTTAACAGGAGCAAATATTTAGCCGCTGTTAACCCTGCCTCAAATACCCAATCAATTAAAGGTGATTCACCGACTAATGAAGAATCATGTAAGTTGCAAAAATTATTTGACCCCTAAAAATTTAAATGAACTCGATTTTCTGAAGTTTGGTGCGCTTTCATTTTACATTATTAATATATTTATCGATCGATCAATTGAATGGACTAGTTAATTCAATCACAATCTTAGGACATGATCAACTTGTCAAGTCTCCCACATCTGGACTACCAAGCTTAATTACCATGGGATCCTTGCCATACAGAAGTTTATCTACAGCAGCCAGAGACCCAAAACATCGTGGTAAAAGTCGCGAAATTCTCAAAGCGTATGCGATCTCCAAAACAGGAGTTTTTTGCTGGGATTCTTTATCACACTTGTAGTATCGATGAATTAATGCCATCGAATTCATTACAGGTGTATGCAAGAAATTGACTATCTGACGAATGCTGCCACAAATATTGGTGCTAATGGAATTAGGCCAACATCAACCACAACAACATCAAGTCATCCATCTCCTGTACCAGATGGAACAAATATAATTCGAAAACACAGTCGTTCTAATACAGTATATGCTGGGACAAATACTGAGTCATACAATCTTATAGGTCATAATTCTACGGGAAGTATATCCATTAAACGACCATCTAGACCAATACCTGACACATCATCGTCAGCAGCAGCATCATCATCCATATCTCCTGTTGTTGATAATATAATGCCAGCTGAAGATAACGAAGATTCCTCGTTTCATTCTTCAAGTGTTCAAGACAAAATTGATGTGAAAAACTCAGACGAAGAACAATCTTTGCCTACGTCACCAAATCACGAATCAGAAAATTCATTTACATCTATATTAAATGGGGCAATGAATAAATCATCATCATCACCTAATGGTAAATCGGATGAACTCGATGGAACAACAGCAATATGTAATCCAAAATCCATAGGAAATTCGAAAGGAAAACCAAATCAAGCAAGACTCCGCGATAAATTCACATCAGGAAAAAGTGCAGAAGACGTAAAAGAAGAGGAAGAACAACTGGTGTGTGAATTTATCATTTACAAATATTTATTTTAGATGTGATTTATTACTTTTAACCTTTGATTTGTTGTGTGTATTGTGAATAGACTAAAGATGTTCAAAAAAAATTCAATCTCTCAGACGAGAAAGTCATAAAACTAATGAAGAATGCGAAGAAAACAAATCAAGAAATTTTGTGTAAGTTTATTTTTTTTTTGTTCTTGACAAATTTATAAAAGAATGTTTTTTCTGATATTTATTTTAGCGAGTACTAGTGGATCGGATCCTCAGCTTGATGACTTAGCAGTAAATCCTAACTTCAATATAGAGGATGACATGGATACACAAATTTCAGAGGTAGTAGGGATTTTTATTGAGTAATGTATTTAAAAATTTTTTGTAATTAATTTTTTCTTTTCTTTAAATAGTCAGAGAAATTACACCAGAATGGTTCCGAACAAAAAATGTGGAGGCAGAGATTTACTCTTCGAAGGTGATTTCTCTCTTACTAGCTCTTCGTGTAGTGATTAATAAAAATATTAATTATTATCGATTACATATATACTATATAGTCATCTTGATACGGTAAGGTCTGTAGCTTGGCATCAATCTGATCTTTTGCTCGTTTCAGGGTCTGAAGATGCAACAATAAAATTATGGGATCTAAAGAGTATTACATCACAAAAGTATGAACTTTATAATTGTCTGTAAAAAATATATTTCTTTATATTAATGTTTTTGACGTTCGTTTAAAAGGCCTCCACCTATGCAAGACATTGAAGCATCCATCACTTATCGTGGGCATCTAGGAGCTGTAAACTCTGTTGTAATGGCATCGGAACAACGGAGATGTTATTCAGCTAGTATGGATGCGACAATACGTGTATGGAATTTACCATCGCCGAAGCGTGAGATTTATGCTCCCGTTGGTAATAACATTGTGATTGGCGCTTTTTTCGGAGCAGACATGCGTATATGCCATTCTTATTTACTAAATTTGTATGTTTGTATATTGTATGTAATTCTTAGATCCATCGCTGAATTTAAATACATATATTGGTCACACGGACGCTATTTGGGATATAAGATTGTTCCCTATAATGAATCAAAATACTCAGCTTTTAGCGTCCGCTTCGGCTGATGGAACAGTTAAAATATGGGACACGGAAATTGATAGGTCTCCATTAAAAACCTCTTGGAATTATTATGGAACTAATAATAGTGAAAAGGTGAATGGAGATGGTAAGTCATGCATTCTTTATGGATTCATGCATTACTTAGTTTGTTTATGTGCTAGCTCTTTGAATTAATATCTTTATTTCATTGCATCATAACAATAACAATGATAAAGGACGTCCTCCAATACCGACTTCAATCGACTTTTTACATACTGATCTAACGAAAATTGCAGTTTCTTATCAAAACTCGATCATCAAATTATTTGATATTGAAACCGGCCAATGTATTTTAGACTTCAAGAGTAATGAGACATATGATAATACACCCGCGACACAAATAAATCGTATTGTTGCACATCCGACGTTGCCTCTATTGTTCTCGGCGCATGAGGATCAACATATACGATTCTTTGATGTGAACACAGGTATAAAGAATATCATTATGATTTATTCTATCTGGGTCTTTAAATGCTAAATTATGATTGTATAATATATAAAAGGACAATCCACATATTCAATGCTTGCACATTTGGATTCAATCACTTCACTTGATGTTGACCCATCTGGAATGATTCTAATATCTGGAGGTAATTATATCATTAACTTTTTTGTTACAACCTACATTTTCACTTCGACATAAATAAATATCTTGATTGTATAATTAATCTAGGCCACGATTCCTCAATACGGTTATGGGATATTTTCAACACTCGAACTTGTATCCAGGAATTTGTGTCTCATCGTCGTAAATCTGACGAAGGTGTGCTATCCGTGCAATATCATCCGAGCCTTCCGTGGCTAGCAAGTGGTGGTGCTGATTCAGTAGTAAAAATATATGCTTGATCAATGCATGAGTGTAATGTTTGAGTGGGTGATTTGTTTGTTTTTTTTTTTAATGAGAAGGATGAAAGAAGGGACTATCAAACATTTATTTTCTTAGATACAGCGTTGTCGTAGTTGTTGTTTTGCATTTTCTATCTATTCAAATGTAGTTTTATAATTGATGGACTTTATAGTATTAACCTCATACTGACTATATTATTTTTATTCTCTTTATTATTTGTCATTATTCATTTTCAAATTAATTATTTCTTTTTTTTGGGTTGAGACCCAATTCAGTATAGTCAAACGAAAAAATAATAGTAACACGAAGTAATAGATTAAACAGCTAAATAGCGATAGATATCGTTTAATATACCGAACTTTTAAGGTGGTGTTTGACATCAACTAATATGAGATCATGTGCAAATTATTTGACTTCGAACGCCGCTAGTCAAGAGTTTGACTTCCTGTTTATCACACGCACAAATACTAAAGGCTAAAAAAGCCAATTATGCTCATGTTGTTCAAAAAGAAGTTTCACCTACTATATGGGTTCATTCCGGATGTATTAGATGGGTACTTGGAAACCCTGTTTCAAATAAATTCAAAACGGATGATATCGATGAAATTGAGACCTCCAACTGAGAACCCGCAGTTTGGGTAAAAAATTTTGAACACAAAATCTTATGTCAGAAGAGGCAATAATGTGACAGGAGAATGAAGAGAAGGAGGAAATTCCAACCTTTGGAACATTACAACAAAAGAGGCATTAGAAAGCATTGACAACTTCTAATTTTATTATGAGCGTAGCAGCAATTTAAGAGAGAAAATGAACGAGAAACACGACGAATGAATTTGATGATTGTCCAAATTGTCCGGTTTATATCGAGTTTTGATTTTATTATTATTATCGTGACTTTGTATACTAAACTAACAAAGGTTTCAAAAATTATACATTCGATTTGTTTTTATGTGTCGTGAATATATATATATATATAGGTCAAAGACAATCAAAGTTTTTATGTGTCGTAGACATGGATCGAAGAAGACCATAAACTTTGAACAAATAAGTTAGACTTATTTAGTGAAATAATTATTATATGAAAAAAAACGACGTAAAAAATAGAGGTGTATAGGAAAAAGGTGGAAATTCTTTATATATAAATTTAACTATAGATATAGCATATTTTGCATTTTCTGTAAATGGTCGAGAAGATATCCAGTCAATAATAAAAGTTCTCTTAATATGTACTACGATAAACAAACAAAGCGTGTATTATAGGAAAGGTAAATATTGCAGTATGAATCATCAGAGTCCAAATGAAACAACATCCGAAAATAAAATTAAGAATAAAAAACATAGATATCTTTAAATTAAAAAATTCAATATTAACAAATAGAGTTATTCCTGTCCAAATCCAACAGTTTCTTCCACCGCTAACGTTAATTTAGACACCAATCTGAGACAAATAAAATTTTGAAATACATGAGAAACAGTTATCATACATAAGAAACAAATATGTCATGTACATATATATACTCACGCCTCGTAATTCTTGTATGCAGGTAAATCAATTCGATTGAAACTGAATTAAAAGGTTAACAAGATTAATAATTTATCAATCTATCCTTTATACGGTGGAGATAAAGCATCGAGGTTAAGAAGCTTACCATGTATGACTTTTAGGTAGCTGGATAGAATCCCCAGCTTTTTCAATTGTGAATCGTCGAGGTCCGTCACTTCCTTGTAAATCTTTAAATCCATTAACAGGAATACGAGAAGTACCTGTCGTGAATTGTAATAGACGTGATTTCTTTTCAGAGTCCCATGACCGTACACACTAAAAAAAAAACATCAATCCGTATGTTATTGTGTTTCAATAAAATAAAAAATAATCTCTAGAAAACAAACCTTCCAAAACCATTGTATAACATCATCAGACTCTGAATAGCCTCGATAATCAGTATGTTTCTTCCAGTCATCAACATCAATTTCAGCAATACCACCAATAAGTAACTTTACAAAATTTGATGATTTATTTCATTAGTATGAGCAAAACACACAACTCTAAAGATTTCCAGCTATGATAAAAATTCCAACCTCTAATTCACGTTCGTCAAAAACAGCAATTAAATCTTGTGGTATAAGTTCGTTGAATCCTGTCATAAATGCTTTAAACTGTTCTTCGACTCGTTTTGAAATACGCCATTCGGTAATATGACTACAAATTAAAGGGTTAGATTCTTCTTAACCAAAATTAATAATTTGGACGAAAAAATATTACTCTATATATTCTCTTTTATTTTCTTCAGTCACCGGAATCTCTTGTCCATCCGGTTTTAAATCAACCGTGACCACTTCGCCAAAGCGATCATCCTCTGTCGAAAACGTTAAATCCAATACATCTGTGATATCGTTTTCCCTAATAACATAAAAAAATATTTTTCAGTTTTCCACGATTGTGATTTTATTAATCGAGTTTTTCCCAAACGTATCAATAACATACAAAGCCCAGGTTAAACTTCTAAAGAAGTCTGCATCCACGCTCTCCATGTCAGGTAACCCCACTTTTTTCTTTAGAATCATCTTATAGAAAGATATAATAAAGAATGCGTCCAAGAATCGACGATGAAAGATAGCAAGTCCAACCACTCGACCAATAAATTTGAAATAATTCAAATGTTCAGGGTTGATGCCTGAATGCGGACTAATTTGAAGGGTGTAATTATCATGGGCAGAATATTCAAATAGACAATAGAATGGATTGAACATCTCATGTGAAAGAAGAAAGAAGAATTCTCTGTAATTAATTTAAAAAAAAATAATTAATTATATAAAATAGTTTAGAAATTAATGCCAAAATGAATAAGAATTCTAAAAATAATTACCTTGATAGACCACCATAATCCAAACCATCCTCTCCATCGAATTTTATCATAAGTCGTTTTTTCAGATCTGTTGGTTGTTGTCGCATTATCTCAGCAAAGGCATCTTCGAATATATGACTTCGTCTAACTTTAACGTGACATTGACCTGGAACAGGTCGAAGAGCAGGTTGAGATCGGAAATATATGAGTTTTCGACGGAAATCTCGTTTATATTGGGGTACATTTTGGCTAACATTAAAAGATTAACAAGTTAGGATACTTGTCGTGTGGAAAAAAAGGAAATCAAACATAATCGATATATACTCTAAACTACTTGGCAACCGTGGATCATCCCATGTGGTGGTCTTTGTATTATGGTCAACAAAATAGACTCTGGCTGTACTTGTCAGTCGCATTTCCCAACCAGAAGGCAATGGCCCAAGTTGAGATACTGGCTGTTGTTGTATAGTCACATTATTAGGACTATTTCCATACATTCTAATGTATTGTTGTCTTCGAGGATCCACCCATGTTGTTGTACGTGTATTATGATCAACAAAATATGGTCTGCCTTCTGGAGTATGCCTTTGCTCTAAATATCGGAGATTAAAAAATTATTAACTTGTAAAAATATTTTACTAGATTCCGCAGTTATTTACCCCACCCAGATGGCAAAGGTCCATATCCTGCAGTAGTTGCACTCGTGAGCATTGGCGCTACTCCATTTGCAGCAGCGGTAATACTTGGTGGTGCATCAGTTGTATTGACAGAAGTGGAGGATGGATTATTTGGTAATGGTGAAATTGTTCCGGATGGTCTTTCTTCTGGAAGAGTTCTGTTATTATGTCTTTGACGCTCCATTTCTGTTATATTTTGTTGTTCTTGAAGCCGCTGTGCGGAAGTAGTAGTCATTGATGGTCTGCTCCATGTAGTTGTGCGTGTATTATGATCGACATAATAAGTGCGACCTAAATGATCCACACGTCTTTCCCACCTATTAATTAAAAATTGGTGAATTCGCGAGTTCGATGGTCAAAAATTTTTCTTTGTCAGTATAAAAAAGATCATTTTAAAAATCCATTACCCAGCAGGCAGAGGTCCATAGTGATCTTCAAAAGAACCAAAAGTTCGATTTGTTGATGCTCCATTTGCGCTATTTGTTCCACTTGCATTGCTTCCAGGCATCGGCGTTCCACCTGCAGGAGTTGCTACAGATGGTGCTGACACGTTTGTTGGTCTTGAGGAACCTCCTTCTGGGGTGAGAAAAGCTCTATTATTTGTCGAAGTTGAAGTAATTGATGCACTACGAGTATGAGAAGGTCCTGTCTGGGAATTAACCCCGTTTGCAGTGATACCTTGATTCGAGGCTGGAGTATTGACATTTGTTGTAAAATTGACGATTAATTTACCATGAACGACTTCATTTGTATTTGATTTTTTGAGATCGAGTGTTAACATCTCTTTGTTATTCATAGAAAATAAAAATAAAATCAATCTTTATTTTAATATCAAAAGAATATTCATTATTGCTCAAAAAAAAAATTATTACCATCTCCACCAAGATTCACATCAAACACATCCATCATCTGAACATTGATTACACCAAGGAAGCCTTGATCTTTCTTTTTGAATTTTTTTTGATCGAATATCTGTACAGCAATCACACTTTGATTCGTTACTTGTCTAAATCATTTATTAACGTTACACAAAATCTTGATTAGCCAAAGTAGACAAGGATCTTATGTATTAATAATACACTCACACATCAAAACTTTCATTCCAATATGGATTTAATGTCTTTTTGATTACAGAAGTTGTTTGGGTTTGTTCACCGTCCACCGTTACTACTGCAAATGGATCAGGTAACCCTGTTTATCGAGAAACAAGAGTTTGTGGTTTTTAAATATGAAACGATGAATAGTATTGCAAAGAGATAAAAGAATCAACATACGAAAGACGTCTCTCTTATATAAGCCATCTGCGGCAATAACTACAATGGTAAAAATAAAATTCAAGGTTAGAACTTGGTTTCAATGAGACATACACGGGTGAAAAAACCCAGATACCTGTTAATCGTATTGTTCTTCTGAAATTTTCAAGAAATAAAGGGGATTTGGGCGATAAGTAAGTGATAAGAACAAATCAGTAAGTCAATAAATAGAGAGTATAGGGTCAGAACCATTGATACCAAAAGTGTCGGTTTTTCTATCAAAGTATACTAACGTTGGTGGATTCGACATTTTGCCAAAAGAACTACTTTTTTTACGCGTGCACGTCACTTATGTAGAAATGAAGGCCAGCTGAAAAGATTTCTAAATAGTTAGTTATTTAGTAAGGGTGAGTGAAAGCTTATCGTTTTTAAGTCAATATAGATATCGTAAAACACTTAGTACAATATGACGGCGTACAACACACACTGCCATTTGACACACTTAACTACGGGAAAAATCACCAATCGAAAATCATACAGAATATTCCTTTCAAGTCATCTGATTAGAAGTTTCTAAAAAATGATGGTGATTTACATGAGATGCCGAATTATGAAATTATGATGTTAATTTCAAGTTGATCGATAAAAAATAACGCGACTTTTTCGAGATCATACTTTATTATCTAGCTTGTAAAATGAAACGCTCAACTCCTCTTAAAGCCAAATCAAGCGCTGAAGATTACGAAGAACAAGGTGTATCAATTTCCCGTAAGCGTCAGCGTACCAAGCCTACTACTAGTGAAAGTAATGAAAAGAATAAGGCTCACATTCCCGATGAAAAAAGCATAAAAAAGATTCGTCAAGAGCTCAAGGACAGGCTTTCGGAACGCGTAATTCCAGCGAAACTTATAGGATTGGAAGACGAATACGCGTATGTTTGCATAGTAATCTTTGAATAGAGTCTTTATATTAAAGAAGATATATTTGCAGGACGCTATATGACATTCTCAACCGAACTGTATCTATGGGCGAAAGCAACTCTTGTTTAATATTGGGTGGTGCTGGCACCGGAAAAACAACGGTAACCATTCTCTAAGTGAGCTAGATCGTTGTATGATTTGATATGATTTGATTTGATTTGATTTGATTTAATTTTATGTTCATTATTTATTTATTCGGTAAAAAGATCGTTCGAAAAGCCATTAAGGAATTGACATCATTACATGGCGATAATTTCTTCTGCATAGATCTCAGCGGGTTTATCCAAACTAATGATCGTCTTGCACTTCAAGAAATTTCACGTCAGCTTTCTCTACAACCACAACTTGAAGGCCAAATATTTGTAAGCAAAACAAAGATAATGAATTAATCATTTGATTTTCTAATTCCCGTGTGAAGTTGTTATCACAATCATTTGATTGATGGCTTTTTTATTTAGCATTCATTTGCAGATTCGCTCATTTATATATTGAATCTCTTAAAATCCGGGAATAAAGATACTAGTAAACCAATAATCTTCATCTTGGACGAATTCGATTTATTCACTCAACATAATAAGCAAGCACTCCTATATAATCTTTTCGATGTTTCTCAAGATAATCAGGCACCAGTTGCCATAATTGGAATGACTCGCCGTCTAGTAAGAATTTTTTTTTTAAAAAAAAGCATAGACGTATGGATGGATTCGGAAAATTCTAAATACATTTACTTTTTAGGATGCCTTATTTTTACTTGAAAAACGAGTAAAATCACGATTTTCTCATCGACAAATTCATCTCTATTCCGCAGAGAACTTTAAGACTTTTACCGAAATAGCAAAGAATTTTCTGCGATTGGACAATGACATAGAAGAGGTTGATTCGATTTATCGTCAACATTTTAATGAAAGAGTTGAAGTAATGTATAGTAATTAAATTCAAATTATAAAAAAAAAATCAATTCTATTTAGTTGATTGATTGTTCAAACAACTATTGATTTTATAATTAATCATTTAAGTAACATTTCAAAATATTTTCTCGATCAATAATTAATAATTTTTTATTTAAGGAATTATTCGAGGAAACTTCTTTTTCCAGAACTGTGAGACACATATTTGACTCATCTAAGGGAATCCGAGGATTTATTAATCTATGTGTGAGTCATTAATTCATCTGACTTCACATCTTAACTAGTTTATGGACTTAATCTTATTTATTATTCTTAAGTTTGGTCCAATTGCAAGATTATCGGCAGTCAAACCATTCTTATTATCGTCGGATTTTGCAGAATATCTGATTCAAAAGCAAATAAATGCAAAAATCGAAATAATCAAAGGTATAATAGATATATCGAAGAGATATTAGTAACATGATATAGCAAAATTCGCAAAAAATTAAAAATTCAATCCTATAATAATAGGAATAACTGAATTGGAATTATGCCTGTTGGTCGCCATCCAGCATATTAATTTGCAGCAAACACCCACATTCAACTTTTGCATGGTCTACGAAGAATACAAGAATTTCATGAATGATCTTGCGGTTAAAGGAAAAAGTATGAGAATGCGTAAATGGGACGCCGCTCTAAAATCCTTTGAGCATTTAGTATTGATGGAACTTGTCATTCCTGTGGAAGGTGCGATGAAGAGTCGAAAAGAATACCGAATGATGAGAGTACTGTTAGAACCTAATGAAATCTTTGAAGCTGTTTCGAGTCACAAAGATTGTCCACTTGTTTTAAAGAATTGGAGTCAGTCATCAAGATTATAATAATTCTTTCATTTTATTTAATTAATTGCATTGCCGTTAAATTATAAACCACTTGGATAATTACATGAGATCAGAATAGAGGCACATATTTTAAACAACTATGATTCGTTCGAAAATGGTTTCATCATCCGATCTAACCTAATATGCCAAACTTGCCAAACAAGTAGAATTTTAATTCTTTGGTGAAGCAGCTGTAAAGGAAAGGGCTCACAAGTTTTATTCCTTTCACTTTTATTAATAGTTGAATAATTCCGTAGTAACTCACCTTTCTATTATTGGAAATTTCATTGATGATGTTTCGTTTTGACTATTTCGAAAAGGTCTTAAAATGTTTTTCTTATCGTTATTCAATCTTTACTTTTAAGGTTCTTCAACCTGTATTACCATTATGTATTGTGCCCCACGCAATGTAAATTCTATTCTAGGCAAGATATAATATCTCTCTATATATAGCCTAGTTTGTTTTTAATCGTCATCATCCACTTCTTTCAACATCACTGGTTCGAATAATACGGTGGAAATTCAAACGCTTCGCGAACAAATGACTTTTGGTTTACCAAATCCCTATATTCCGAAATTTGGTAAATGTTCTCGAAGAAGAATTAGATAAAAAAGAGTTATCTCTCATTTAAAAAGATTCTGAACTCGTTAATCAGAAAATTAGCGTGGAAATAATCGACTTCGACTAAAAAATTATTTTAAGATCGAATCACAGCACAAATCAAAATACAAAATATCAGAGTGGTGTATCAAATATATAATAAAACCATTGGAAAATTTTTATGTAAATAATATTATGCGAGATGATCTTAGGAATATGAAAAGGCAATAGCGCTATCGCTATATAATAGGTCTTTGTCATCTGATGTGCGGGATATATCACAAATAAGTAAATGTTGGATGCAAATCGAATTTTTTTAATTATGTGATATAGTTTTTTAAATTCGTGTTTGTAAATTTTACGTGACTTGCATACTCGAGAATTAATGGAAGAGATTAAAGAGAGTTCTGGAGGTTATTATTATACGTTCTGCTCTTTTTATATTTACCTCTCGTCTTTTTTGGTCAGATAAATAACTTTCGTGGAATTCCATAGCTCTTAGAAGGCCAAGAGAAAATGAAAGTGATAAAGAATCTCAAAGTACTTATCCTAAAAAATCAATTAATGACAAGTTAACGCTCATGACGCAACGTATGCCAATATAAATTTTGACTTCAAATTGCATTATTAGTCTTTTCGCACAATCTCTGAAATTTCTTTGCTTTGGTGGTAGATGCGAGCAATAGAGCTAAAAAATCAGAGCTAAAAATTCACATTAATGAACTCGAAAAATTGGTCCATTGGCATGGACTAGAAGAAGAACAGCTATCAGATCTTTTGGATCTAGTATTTAGTGCAAAGCTTGGTGCGTTTCCCATAATACAATTCTAATTTGTGTGATGATATGCTTTGGATGAAGACAAAGCTTCCCGATTTTAATAACTGCATATTTCTAGATGCTGTGGATACCAAACGGATTATCAAGTTGCTTATTCCACGACGAAAAATTTCCGAAAATCTCGTGATAAAAATATTGGGAAAACTAGGATATGGGTTGGTAACTCACCCAATTCAGGTAGTATAATGTTTACTGGGAAAATAATACTTTTTTTAATTTGCCTATTATTCGATGATCAAAAATAAAAAATAGCTCTTTTCAATTTATATTTTATGACTAACTAGGACTGATTTTTGAAAAAAAAATAAGGGATTGCTGCTTCGTTGGGTTGTTCTCGTTTATCCATTATTGGAGGATTATTCAAAGCTACAAAAATTATACGGTGTGATTTTTCATTTCATGGAGTACCAGAATTTACGGTAATAAAAGAAATCAATAATGTCTTTATTCATAATCTCGCAGTTAACATGATTATACAATATTCTTAGACCTTTACTATGCCACTTATTATATTTTATGACACGCCGGGAACATGTAAAAATATATCGAGTACGAAAAATGTATTTTTCTCTATTTACTAATATTTCAAAAGTATCATATAATTATAATATATACATGCGTGCATAATACCGCTTATTAACCTACACATTTTTATATTTTAGAATAAATTTACTAAGTAGATTTGGAAATGAACCAAATCTTATTGGGCTAATAAGAATTTATAAGGATTATTTCCCAAATTATGTCACGGTTTCGATTCCTTCCACACGAAAAGCGATATTCAATGTAAGCACTTTTAGTTAAAGCTTACAGTAACCTTTTGTTTTTGATCATGTCTATTAATTATCTGATTTAGTGTCCCGATTCCGCCTGGCAGCTGCTAATATCACAAGTACAAAAAAGATGGAATGCATTAAATGACAGTTCGCTTCTTCCTCCATTGAAGGCATGAAAATCCTTTTTCCTATGTTTAAATGATCCATATTTGATTACCAGTAATTCATCTAATTAGCGCCGTATAAAAGGTGAAAAGAAGAAAAGTCGATGAAATAATAATTCCAAGGGCTCAAACATCAAACGTGACCGAGGTAATTTTCATTGTTAAAAAGCTTTGATTATATATAAATCATGTTTTGAGAGCGAAACCTTCTATTTATTATGCAGAAATCAGTTACTATCGACGATGTTATCAATTTTAAGCAACTCGCTTCTAAAATTGACAAACTTGAATTACCCAATCAACTAGCGTCTGCTCTAGATAACCGGATGCTACAGCATATACTTATTTGCAATCCTGAAAGTAAGTCTCTTTAAAGATTGTGATCTTTTTGATGTTTTGTGAATTTTAACTACTATTTCAAATTAGGGATCACCTTGACGCGAATAACTAATTGGTTATCACAATGCCTTATGGAATTGACGTATTGGAGTGACCAAGATATAGAGACAAAAAATCGTCTAACGAGTTTATTGGAAAAACTTATTGTAATGACTGAATTTATTAAGGTAATAAATACTACAATTTTAATTCATTTATCCAATTTGTTCAAAATAAAGAATATTCATTTTGAGTGATACAATTCTTTTTTTTAATCCTTCCGGTAATTCACCTTGCACATAAATACAATCGCTTCTAATGGCGATTACATTCTCTGCGATAATTGTTAATATGCTATATAGGAATTACTTCCTATTTTTGAAGATTTTCTCAAAAAATTTATTATAACCTGGAATGGTGAACAGAATCAAGAGTTAATTTTCAAATTGTTAACTTATATAAAACCGCAAGCGTTTAATGGTTAGTTGAAATCTTTCTGTTCACTTCCAAATTCATTAATAGTTTTATATATTAATATTTATTTATATTTCAAAGATTTATATCAAGATTTTTTGTTTCCTTTGCATAGACTCTTTTATGTATCATCAGCAGAATGGAAGGTCAGTTAGGTATTTTATTATCAATTAGGAGGAGGAGGAGGATTGTTGCTTTCGTGTAAAGAAAAACATCATTATTAATTTTCGATTCTATTTGTGATCAGGCAAAATTAATACTATGTTATGTAACATTGCTTCGATATTGGGCTTCGCTGATAGCGATAAAAAGTGATAGTCAAGAATCCCTGGATCAAACTAATGATTCTGCCAAACACTTGTAAGTAGTAAAATTTGTCTTCACTTTGATAAATATGACTAAAAAATAAATTTAATTTTTTTCAATTACAAGTATTTTCGGGCAAATGGATCCTAGCCTTGATTATATGGAAAGCATCCAGAAATTTATATTATACTGCGATGATATCTCAATCACTTCTTTAGAGGTACCATCATATGTCTTTCAGGCTAATCTTTTAATGCGATTATTGTTAATAGTTTGTTGCTATCTTAACAGGCGGAAAATGACGATATAGTGATTCAACATGCAGTTCTATCGTTCTATGAATCCGTGGTCTCGCTACAACTAGAAAATAGTTGGGATAAAATAGTAATGCCATCTTCATCAATTGTTTATCGTTGTTTCTTTTCTTCCTCTGGCATGGCATTATCGAGAATTTGTGCAATCGTCTTACAGTAAGTCGAATCCTACGTGTTTCCTTATGGATTATTGACCAACCTAACTGATACTATGATCTAAAATATTTATTGGAATCATTTATTTTAAGTTATAAAGAAGCCTTTGATAAACGAGAAAAAAGAGCTATTCAGCTCGGAATATTTCGCCATAATCGAAGCTACGTAAATCATTTCAATTCATTTGTGATGGACATTTGCAATTGCTTATGGCGGAACCGCCCTTTTAGCAAGACGGACAAAAATTCTAAAGGGTTTCAATTGGACAAGTAAATATTGGATTCTAAATTTTATTTTTTCAATTAATTATCCTTGTATACTAATAACACTTTCATATGTCTTATTATAGCGAAGTGATTGAAAATATTAAAGAAATTTGTGGAGGAAATTCTTGGGTCTCTCATTTTTCATTGACGCATTTATTATCATTGTCATCTTATTCCAAAAACTGCATCACTGTAAGTAACTGTAATAACCTTGTTAAGCATATAATTATAAATCAATATTAATTTACTTGTTTGTAGGAAATAGAAAATTCCACTCCTAACTTGATAAAGGAACAAATCTCTCCGATAACTTTACAGTCATTAAAAGAATCTGCAAAGGTAATTCTGAAAGTTCGCTTTTTTTTCTTTAGTACCGACCCGAATATTAAATAATATAACCTTTTATTAATAGCTTGGCGGGATCAAGTTAACCTTCTCAGAATACCGGGTCATTTTTTTGAATTATCTCTTGGATCAAGGCTTCTTTGGGTTACATGCATTCCTATACAATTCTTTAACTTCATTATCAAAAATGAAGCCGCAATCTTGAAGTAAGATAACCTCATCCTTTTTAAAATATATAATTGATACCTTCAATACACATGTATAAAACTAGTTATTTACGACAGTACTCTGAAATAAAAATATTTTCCTATCATTACTTGGGAAGAGCAATTCAAGTTCTGTTTTATAGAAAAAAAGGTAAACCATTTTCTAAATAATGTAGAAATATACCTTCGAGGACTGCAAAGGCAAGATGTAATCAAACATTACTAAATACATTAACGAAAATCAAAGTTCACGTTATTTATTGGATTGGTATCTCCGCTGTCAGAGTTCTTTGATTTTCTTAATATACAATTTCATCTAATCATATTAGTGGAAAAGCATCGAAAAAAATGGTTTATATTATCATTCTCGTCAGTTCTATATCGAATTTTAGTTCCGTTTTCTGCTAATTTTTTAACAATTACTACATTAGAAATGTTATTTTATCCAATCGTAGTTTTTTGTTTGTCTAAAATCAATAACCAAAAAAACTTTGTTCAAAAAGAACTTTTTTATATTACGCACAATTTCCAAAATAGATTACTATGAACTTTTGTAATTTGAAATAGCGAATCTATCAAAACTTGCTAAAGTTATATAAAAATCTTGATAATAAAACTAATTATTATTGAAACTATACATGTAATAAAATTAGATACAATTACAATCAACTCTGGTTACAATAACAATAATTAATATAAAAAAATTTTTGTTACTATATAATCAGCATGTTATAAAGAATGTTACTGTAACCAGCTCTGACTGTATTTGCCTTTGATTATATTATATCTGTATTATTACATATAGTTTAACGAACAATCTTAAATTATTATTATTCTTGAAAAAGTGAAATTAAATAATTATAAAAAATATTGTTTATTTCATAATTGAAAAAAAAAGTCAAATTGAATAATTTAAAGTTCAAAAATATATTTTTTATGAATGTGATTATAACTATAAAAAAGTACAGTCATCCCTCTTTATAAGAACATGGTCCGGGTCATAAAAATTGGTTATTCTTATAAAGAGATTATTTTTATTATCAATATTAATTATTCGATTCTCAAAATTGTGTTTTTATAGAGATGTTCTTATATAACATGTTCTTAAATAGAGGAATGACTGTAATTTTATTATAAATTATTCTTGAAAACAATTAATTATAACAGAATTTCTATATAATATAACTATAACAAAAATAATTATAAAGGAGTTTAATTATAAAAGTTTATATTATTTTTAAATCAATTTGAAAATAATTTAATTTGAAACTTTAAATTTAAATCTGATTCAAAATTTTTCAAATTAAAAATTTGTAATTTAAAATTAATTCAAATTTTCAAATTCAAATTATCTTTAATTAAAGTTCAATATACAACAAAAGTTAATATTCAAAGTAGTAATTTAATATATTAAGAACTTTAGATTTATATTAAAGATTATTAATAAAAGTATTATTATAATAATAACAAAAATTTTTTAATTCCTGAAAAGTAACAAATCTAAAAATAGTTAAAAAACAAAAAATAATTAAAAATAAAGAAATTCAACAAAAATAACTCAATATATATTATTTACAATATCTTTTACAACTTACAATTTTATTTATAACTTTATTTACAACTTCTTTTATAATTTATAATTTTATTTACATTTTATAACTTTATAACTTTATTTACAATTTTGAATTTTTGATTAGTATAATTATTAAAATTATATTTGTAAAAATATATAAATAAAAATGTTATTAAGCTTTAACTCAACATATTGTGAATTAAAAATAAAATTATTACTTAATAAAAATTTTCTATTAAATAATATTTATCTTTTTTACTCTTAATTATATATATTAAAGCTTGTATACAAGTAATTTGTACTGAACTAAACATGATTATTGGAATTATTAGCTTTAAAATTTATTATATTAAACAAAATATTATTATTAAAATTATTAATTTTGAATTATATTATGCTAAACAAAATATTATTATTGAAATTATTAATTTTAAATTGTATTATATCTAACAAAATATTATTATTAAATTTATTGAATTATTAATTGATAAATAAGTATTTTGATTTTTGAATTTTTATTAGCTTATTTGTAAGAAGAATAAAGTGAAAAATCTTTGTTATTTTATTATTACTATGATGTATAACAACTAGAGATGGTGCAGCAAGTATGTGACGCTTATTTGTCACCCGTTGCAACACGTTGCAACTCCAAAATTTTATAAGCCGCAACTAGTTGCAACTAGGTGATGCTTTATTTGTCACCACGTTGCAACAGTTGCCGCACCATCTTTAATAACAACTAAAGTCATCAAATATTTGTATTTTATAAACTATATAAACTTCTTTACTAAGAGATAAATATAAAATTTAATCTGTGAATATGCTCAGAAAAGATCTGTTCTATAATATTCACAGATTAAATTTTGTATTTACTTCTTAGTAAAGAAATTTATCCATTTTATAAAATATAAACATTTGATGACTTTAGTTATTATGCACCATAATTATATTATTTTAGTTCTGAAAAACTTATACAAATACAAAAAATTAGTATTTCAAAATTCTTTTTATCATATATAGTCAAACTTTTCTATAATCATCACCTTTGAAAATGGTGACTATAGAGAAAATATAACTATAGAAAGATTTTTTTACTATATTTATATATAAATGGAAAAGCAAAATAGTGTGACTATAAAGAAGTATAATTATGAATATAGAGATTTGATTGTATTTTTCTTTTATTTTATTTTTTCTTCTTTTTTGATTTTTACTTTTCAATATTTATATTTATATTTATTATTTAAATTATATAATTAAATTTTTCTATAATCACACCCATTTATAGTTACATCTAAGATTCCAAAAAAAAGTCTGGTTTGATTTGAGTCTGGTTCAGTTTGAGACTTGAACCTGATCAAAAGTCCAGTTCGAAAATTCAAATCTAATTAAAAAATCTGGTTCAAGTTCAATTCAAATTTTGAATCAGACTCAAACCTGATCAAAAGTTCAGTTCGAGTTCAAGTAAATATTTGTTGATGTTCTAAGTAAAGTTGTAGATCGTAACATGAGCTACAAATTGATATAAGATAG